GAGGGAAAGGATGAGACGAAAGGATTTGCTGTGTTGCCATATTTAAAAGGTACTACTGAAAGAGTTCAAAGAATTTTACAGCAGCATAACATCAAATGCTGTATTAAACCAGATAAGACTTTACGACAGATCCTCTCCAAACCTAAAGATCCCGTGGAGTATGAAAAACAATCTGGGGTTGTTTTTAGGATTCCCTGTGGTGAGTGTAGTACTCAGTACATTGACGAGACAGGAAGGGCGTTAAGGACACGTAGAAAGGAACATGAAGCGGCAGTCAGACTTGGAAAAACAAGCTGGTCGGCTTTAGCGGAACATGCAAGCAAAACAGGCCATGCGATTAACTGGAAGGAAACATCCATCTTGTGCAAAGAAAGCCGCTGGTCGCAGAGGAGATGGAGTGAGGCAATAGAGTAGATTGCAAAGAAGAAGAACGTTTTGTGTAATAGGGACAAGGGGCGGATGATCCCGCAAAATTATCTCTGTGTAATTAGAAGTTAGTTACCGCGCGCGCTAATTCGATCTTCTCAGAGCGCGCGCTCATTGTTTTTATGTTGTTTTGTAAAATGTAACGTTTTTTCATTAGTCTTGATAATGGCTCGGTGAGCCGAAAGCTCGACGAAAATAAATAACTTTTAGGTTGAAGTAGCGCTTACATCGTAATGAATAGACCAACCTACAACCATTTATTTGATTTAAAAAAACATGTCAACTCCCATTTTTCTAAGAGTTGTGGTGGTAACTTGGTTTCAAATACAGACAACAAAATACATGCGTGTGTACTTGGTAGTTCTCCAAGAGCCTCTAGGCCTCTTGTCCTGTTCTTTAACGTGTCGTACAGCTCACGCAATGCTCGTGCCGACACCTCTGTCGTAGATTCTAAGTTAATKATTGACTTGATGAGTGATGAAATAATAATGCGTTTCCTACCGTATCTGTGCTGTAAAGCTTCTACTGCTGACGAGTAATTAGCGCCGGTGACTTCAAATCCTTCCACGGTTTGCAACGCGCTTCCCTTGAGAACTGATCGTAGATAAGTGAATTTCTGAATGTCTGGCAAATCGTCATTCTTGTGCACTGCAGCTTCAAATTGATCCCAGAAGTTTTGAAACTTTAATAAATCTTCATCATACGTTGGTAGTTCTATTTTAGGCAGTTTTAAGTTTTGTCGAGYGTCCTTAGMTGATGCAATACTTTCGGCGGCGGATGATTTACAAATTTCCTTTTCGATGTATTCTTTAGCAATGTCAATAGATTTATCTATATCATTCAAAATTTCTTTACACGTATAAAGCTTAGTGTCGATGTCGTTTTCTTCGACTGAAGTAGATACGAAATCCTCTCTTAAATCAAGACATAACAGGCGACAATCATCCAATCTTTGTGATCTCATTTGCATTTTGATCTTGTTATTTGAGCTTTGACTTAGTTCAAAAACATCAATAGATAGAGCTTCGACATCTCCTTTCAATATTTTCATTCTACGTTTAGATCCATCTTTTTCTTCTAAATATTGTTGAGATGTTGTACAAGTAGAGTAGTTTATGTCACCTTCGTCATTCGGTGACGACGAAGTGTGCGCGGGTTTGTTGTTGTTGTTAGAAGGCTTGTCTTTATGGTTATTTGCAAGGGATTTCGACAGTTCTGAAGCCTTTACTAACCTTTTAATCCAAGAGTTTTTTCTTTCCTTTTGTAGAGAGATCTTTTTCCTTCAAGGTTTAGCGAAGTTGCTCGACGGACTTACTGGTTAAGTCTTCTTCAAATGACGTTTCAAACTCGGTGGCGGCCATTWTGTCGAGAGCGTGGACGATTGAAAGTGTTGACAAACACGACGAATTAGAAAGCTGAAGTCAAGTAACGGGTTTCAATCGATACAAATATGATTACCTTATTCGTACTAATTTTCGCGAGCAATTAATTTTGCGATTTTTCAAACAATATTTCGCGAGCATTAATTTTCGAGATTTTGAAAAAAAGGATAAATTTAGTGCATTTAATTTCGCGAAAATTGAAAAACAGGCGGACAGAGACTATTTTCCGCGAGGTTTTAGTGTCGCGATTTTTTTTTTTTTTTATCGCGAAATTAAAGTCTGATATTATTCGCTTGCATGATTTTTTTGTCACTCTTGCTGTGCACGAATTTTTTTTTCTCTATTTAAGCCTTGCTCGATTTTTTGGGGGGTTATTGCCCATCCACCCGTCCCTTACAAGATTCTTTGTTACATGTAACTATTTCATAGTTAAAACAATAATAATTATAATGCGCAAAAGTAAAAATCTCATCAAAACGATTACTGTTAGAATGTCAAAAGATGAGGTAACATACGCAGAAGATTATTGGCTGTAACTAGAAAGTTAAGTTAAGCGTACAACTGGTACAAGTTTCGTTTAGCACTTTCAGTCCCTGGTCTTTAATGCTTATTTCCAGGTAGTTATCGTTGAGGTCAGCGCTCCCTACTGTCGTGACTAAAATAGTGAATTATAGATTACTTGCAACAGGTGTCTTTTAGAAAAACTCTAACTTAACCTGCTAGGTAAATATCGTGACAGAATGTTTTGCCAATTTCCTAATATTGCCAATTTATATGATAAATAACTGAACCAATTTTGATCAATATTCTTCCGTTACAGGTGGCATTGAACTCGCGACCTTTGCATTTGTTGCCCTTGAAATAGAACGAAGTATGGATTTTTCCAAAAAGGACGATCTACAAGCTGCAGTTTTGCATTCGAGGAAAGCAGCTGAAAGTAAATATCCACTCTTGGATATTTTAAATAATTTGGCTGATTTGCATTCAAACCTAAAGAATTACTCTGAAGAAATACAATATTCAGAAAAGGTCATAGAAGTAGCCAAAGGTATCAATGACAAAGGATGTGAATCCCATGGATATTTAATGAAAGGTGTGTTCTATGGAATCTATATGGGTGAATACCAATCGTCCTTTACAGCTTTGAAGGAAGCTTTACGAATCTCTAACGAGAACGATTGCATTGAAATCGCCAGCCTTGCATCTTTTTACCTTGAAAGAGTACAAAGTTTGGATTTTTCCAAGAAGAACAATACAGAGGCTGCAATTTTGCATGCGAAGAAAGCAGTTGAATTCGTTAAAGAAGAAAACAAATATTTACTCTTGGATACTTTAAAGATTTTGGCTGATTTGCATTTAAACCTAAAGAATTACTCTGAAGCAATACAATATTCAGAAAAGGTCATAGAAGTAGCCAAAGGTATCAATGACAAAGGATGGGAATCCCATGGATAT